TAGTAATAGTAACAGTACTAATAGTAATAATAATAGTAGTAGTAGTAGTAGTAGTAGTATTTATGTTATTAGTAGTAGTAATAGGCTTCGGTGGCCTAGTGGTTAGGCTCTCGGACTCGCAACCGTAAAGTCGAGGGTTCGAATCCCGTCAGGGGCCCGATTTTGTGTCCTTGGGAAAGACCCTTTGCACAAATTTTCCTCACTTCACCCAGGTGGAAATGGGTACCTGGCTATAGACAGTGAACGATCTTGTCAGTTTGATAGTGTTTCAGCGCGTGAAATCCGCAGCTTGCACTGTATGCTTCCGCGGAAGCCGAGAATGTTTCTGAGTGTTCTCAGAGGGTCTGCTGGGGTAATAATAGTTGTAAAGCGCATAGAGCATAGTAATAATAGTAATAATAGTAATAATAGTAATAATAGTAATAATAGTAATAGTAGTAATAGTAGTAATAGTAGTAATAATAGTAATAATAGTAATAATAGTAGTAATATTAGTAGTAATAGTAGTATTAGTAGTAATATTAGTAGTAGTTGTAACAGCCATAGTAGTAACAGTAGTAACAGTCGTACCAGTCGTAACAGTCGTAACAGTGGTAACATAGTAGTAGTAAAAGTAGTAGTAAAAGTAGTAGTAATAGTAGTAGTAATAGTAGTAGTAATAGTAGTAGTATATAGTAAGTAGTAGTAGTAGGAGGAGTAAGAGTAAGAGTAAGAGTAAGAGTAGTAGTAGCAGCAGCAGCAGCAGCAGCAGCAGCAGCAGCAGCAGCAGCAGCAGCAGCAGCAGCAGCAGCAGCAGCAGCAGCAGCAGCAGCAGCAGGAGGAGGAGGAGGAGGAGGAGGAGGAGGAGGAGGAGGAGGAGGAGGAGGAGGAGGAGGAGGAGGAGGAGGAGGAGGAGGAGGAGGAGGAAGAGGAGGAGGAGGAGTAGCAGGAGTAGTAGTTTATATTTATTATCTGATTTTCGCTATGTCCCAAAATTTAGGTTACAAAGAATATGCACACACAAAATCTCGGGACCTGAAAATCATATCGAAATGAGCATTTTTCTTTAGCTACGTTTGCCACGAGCTACGCTGCAGGACCAAAAATATATGGTGATGTTACATGCTTAGATTAGATGAAACATTAAAAGTTCTTAACAATAACAGCACTATTACTACAAAGAAAAGACCCCCCCCCCCCCCCCAACAAAACCGACACTCGAAAAATTACAGGGAAACTTACCAACCACCATCTTGACCTTCCACAACTGGAGGAAAGGTAAATCGCCTGGAAATGAAGATATAAAAACAAGAGAACGAATTACCATTTACTTTACCTGAGAAAAGGCTCCTTGTAATAATAATAATAATAATAATAATAATAATAATAATAATAATAATAATAATAATAATAATAATAATAACAATAATAGTAATAGTAATAGTAATAATAATAATAATAATAATTGCATTTATATAGCGCATATCCATGCTCAAGAGCTTGCTCTATGCGCTTTACAACTATTATTACCCCAGCAGACCCTCTGAGGACACTCAGAAACATTCTCAGCTTCCTCGGAAGCATACAGTGCAAGCTGCGGATTTCACGCTCTCAAACACTATCAAACATAAAAGATCGTTCACTGTCTATAGCCGGGTACCCATTTCCACCTGGGTGAAGTGAGGAAAATGTGTGCAAAGTGCCTTTCCCAAGGACACGACGTGGGGCCCCTGACGGGATTCGAACCACAACCTTACAGTTGCGAGTCCGAGAGCCTGACCACTATGCCACCGACGCCATTTTTCTTTTTTGTTCCCTCCAAGTGTCACGGACTGCTTGCTGCAGGTTGATACCAGGTTCCACAACACTGTGTTCGGACGCTTGGAGACATGGTTCACACACTCCCTCCTTGTCGGCAGGCGGACCAGCTCCATGCGGATCTACAGCTGTGATAGCGTTGAAGGTCTTCGTGAAAAAATGGGTAAATAGTATCGGTTTAACACCCCTATCAACACTATTAGGTTATTTAAGGGGCGGGACCTCCTAGTTTAACGTCCGTCTCCGATAGGACCGAGCCAAGTGGGAAGTTCGTGTGAAGTGCCTTTCCCAAGAACACAACGTCGGACTGAGCTTAGGCTCGAACCCCGAACCCGCAATCTTACGATTACAAGCCCGATAACCTAACCACTAAGCTACCGACGCCATCAAAGGTCTTCGTGTCCCCGTCACCAATAAAAAAAAACCTATGTATCTCATGCCGAGCTCCAATGACCGTTCTCACAACACCTTTGCTGCCTCGGTCTCCGTGCCTCCTGCTGAAGTGCCGGTGTAGTTCCTCTGGCAGGAGGGTTTAGGGAGCTCGTACGTACCACTCGGCGGACACTCACTTCCCTTCAGTCCTTAGTTTTTGGCCTGTAGTACCACACTATTGTGAAATAGATATAAGCAATTCAAATCATTTAATGAATTAAATGGAAATCATGCCTTTTGCTTGCCACCTGCTGCATTAGACAATTATTTAGCCTCTTTATCAGGAATACTTTATGGAAATACATAAACTGACAAAAATATATAATTACTTTCGATACGTGTAAATCTAGCGTTTGAACAAAATGAAAAAGACAACAGCAGGAGAGAACAGACATTACTGATAGTCCTATCAGCATTGGCTTGACACATGGTGAGAAAACACAAAAATAGAAGACTGTTAACATCAAAACAACAATGCTCAAGTTCAGATCTAATGTTAATTATTTACCTGGCAGTACAGAGACATGACATAAAAGTTGATGACTGGCCCTGTCACGACTTCTACCACAGCTGCACAGCTGACGTCATGTGACGTCAAATGCCCCCGAAATGTTCAACACACTGTTGCTGTTATTCGCTGAGGGGTCGTAGCTCTTGCAGAAGCCTGTAACAACCCGTCGGGCCCACCCCAGGATTGACAGTGATACGATGGCCACTTTGCTGGCAATTGAGTCTTAATGACTCTGGTAAGTCGTTCCATGCATGTTGTGCATGTTAGGGCTGGTCAATGAGTCGCTTTGGCAAAATCCGGAAATGTAAGTGCACCTCTTCGGCAGATATTGTGATATGAACCGCTTCGGCAAAAGGGTGCTCCCTCTTCGGCAACGGGTCAGGAAAGAAAGAGCCTGAATTCGGATAATGTTTCATTGAGAAGTACCCGGTTATCCTTATAGATGATCCTGATTTTGCCCACCTCTAGTGCATGCCCGTGCACTCTGACATCTTTTCAGTTCAGATTGTCCAACACCTACACACAGACAAGCAGCGACTGTCCCCCTGTTGACTCCCAGTGCCTGGACCACGGATGTGAGCTGTGTTGTCAACCCATCTCTGCCTACTGCCATACACGAATCCATCTTGACAATGTGCCTCCGTTCAAACCTAAGGCATGCCGAGTTCTTTCTTTTGGATTCCCTATATTATCGTACAAAGCTCCTCTCTTTGCCTCTCTATGAAAAGGGGAGTAGAAATGAAGCACAACCTTTTGAAGAGTGGTAAAAGTGTGTTTGAATGACTTCTTGTCCCTCACAGTGCAAACAAATCGTTTACACCAAGCGAATTCAAGCACAAAACCTACAAGGGAACATCGAGCTAATAACGTTATTTTGAGAAAGTATTCAAAATTCCAAAGCTAGACTACACATCTGACTTCTCTGAGTTGCTGTGATGAAAGAAAAGAAGTCATAAAAAACTAATTTAGAGTCTCGCTCCACGTGCGCTAATGTAGTTGAGTAAACAATCCAAACGATTGGATCAGTGAACAGCCGAGGTTAATGATGAGTTTTCACTCCGCTTTACGTGCTCACGTGCTGTGACGTCCGTTCGACAGATTGCTCGACTTCAGGCTAAGGGCTGTGCAGCTTGATTAGTTTAAAATATATAAAAAACTGTGATGTAAACAATTTAATTGTACTAATTTTCCCACTGTTTAATCGGACGAAAAAGCTTGTCCACGGTCTTTACGACTTATGTGAATAGTCTTTTGAAGTCGGGATTGTTGTACTGAAATAGCCTAAATCTTCAACGTTTATTTCAGTGAAGTCTTCAAACATTAAAGAACAAACTATATCTTGGCAAACATCAAGAGAAATGTATCCCCAGTGTCATAGAATTCCACAAGGTGGATCATATTGTAACAGTTGCTGTACCGTTGGCAAATGTCAGTCTCTTCCAAAACTTTCTCCTGGCTTTTGCTATCACAGGTTTTAATTATTTTCACCACGTTTTCAGTTCTTGGTTCCCTGTTCCGGTAGGCTTTAACATACCCATAGCCTAAAGCCCCGGTTATACGCAACGATAAACTGTACAAAAACTGGACGATCTATCGATCATGATACAAATTGTCAGATGTAACCACAAAATTGTACTAAGTTTGGATGATTGCACGATGGCTTGGAGACTCGATCGAGAAATTAAGGGCTGCTTGATATTTTCCGTGCGATCACGGTCAGATAGATTTGGGGGAGACGCGCTGTGACGTAGAATCCCTTTAAAATTTGCCGCCCCTCAGGATTAAACTTCTGGGCTCAATATTTAAAAAATAATTATCGAGGGTAAAAAATGATTTCATATTCGGAATCAGCGTCTCAGAATAAACAAATTCGCTCCCGAGGAACCTGATTTAATACGTTATTATGAAAATTTTAACAACTTTATTATTTAGTTGATCGTCAATGGTGAAGTTGCGTATCAAGGTCACCCGGTGCGCTGCACATCTGCAGTCAAGTCAATGACTAGGAATCTCCTTGATAGAAAGAAAACTGCACGATAGATTGGACTGTTTAAACAGACCACACAGCTCGATAAAAGGGACAGTTTTCGCATACAACGAATCTGACACAATTTATCGTTGCGTGTAAACGTGCTTAAGATGCATTACCCAGTTTGTGTCTCCCGTACGCTCGTAAATCTTACAGAATTTAGCTGACGTGGTTTGTTTCGCTTGTCTGGGTTTTCCCTTCAGTTTTTTGGGACTGGAATTGAATGTCTCACTGCTGTAACAGGCTACATAATACCAGAAAGAAGATGTGCTTGACAGCCTGTCCAAAAGCGAAGAAAATGTGGGGGTGAAGTCTGTTTCGACCAGCCCACTTTTAATCAAAATAAGTTCAAAGCCTTCGTCGCGCATGCCGTCATGGCGACCCAAATGTGGCCCCAAAGTATGTGCGTACTGGGTCAAGCAAGTTCAGAATATAGGACTAAAGCTAATACGAAGTGCCCATTAAGGGAGCGACAAACCGATCGCCCACCGATCGCCCGACTTGTCGCCCGAAAACAAGCGCGTGTGTTTTTTAGGCGACGAGTCGGACGTTCGGTTTGTGCCACAACAATCGCTTTGCGTTCTCAATCTGGCTAGGAAACCGAACCGATCGTGCCAATGGGCACTGGGTGTTATTCTTATCACTTTCACAGTTTGTCTTCTTGCTGGGCCCGCGGTGGTCTCAGAGGAAACCGGATACAAGGAAAGTGTGTGTGGGGGGGGGGGGGGGGGGACTGAAATAGCAGGACGATTTTACCTTTACCTCTACTGTTCGCCAAGCAATGAACTTTTTACTCTAAAATAGCGAACAGCTCCTGAGTATAGTTATTACTAATTTCGTTATAGGGCAATCAATTGTTCTCATTTCACTTTTATGTTTAACAAGCTTGAGGCTGTCAACTATGACACCAATCTTTCAATTTCATGTGAAAAACTCCTCTATGGCTCTCGACTGTGACAGCAAAGACCATCAGAACTAAACGGAAACGGAAACTTTAATACAATCTCCGCGGTGATATAAAATCACTCCCAGTGTCTTTTCGCTCATTATTATTGATCGAATAATTTTTTTAAGATCCCAACTGCTGGGAGAAGCCCGCGTTCAGAAAATGAAGTTTTTTTGTTTGGTTGGTTTGTTGGGGGTTTTTGGGTTGTTTTTTGGAGGGTTTTGTTTCGACATGTCTTGGTGACAACAGCGAAACAATGAAAATCTTTAGCCCTAAAACAAACATTCCTACACACGCTAACAACAATTTTACGAAGCTCCAGGTGTGAAAGTGTTCTGTGTTTTATGTTGATGTTGAGTGTCCAGACAACAGCAGACACGTGAGGAGCTTGCCGACGGCACAATTTCTCTGGATGTTGAGTTAAATCTACCGTTATTGTGTGACTATTATATCACACTAGCTGGGTACTCGCTCGATGAACGAACTCAAAAGAATCGATTGTCAAGTTACTGTGAAATCTGTGCGAACTGCTGGTGAACGGAAGCCTCACATGTTTACAATGGCGTC